GGGGACGCTGGCCCAAAAAAGGTTGAGAAACACTGATTTAGAGTAAACAAACATGGCTGAATGAATAGCCCTAACATTATAACCTATTTATGTCACGTTAATGATGAACAGCAGAAAAGTTACCGGATATATCAACTGCGGTAGCAATTTCGCTCCAACTCCTCTTCTTGTCATTTCTGTGGATATTCCTCTCACGAAATGTTGAACAAACATTAATGTTGTTTCCACATATCATTTCCGATGTCCACTGGAATCCCAAACAGCTGACACGTGCAATGAGAATTGCATGTGTCAGCTGTTTGGGATTCCCCTCTGTGCTTTCCCCTCAGAAAACACAAAGGGGAATCCATGCTCTACCTGTCACATTCAACAGGCTGCATTCTCAGTCAGGGAAAACCCCACACCAGGCCTGTCAGAATAACAAATTTTGCTGAGCGATTGTCTAAAAAATTATTGCGATAAACGATAATATTGTTTCAAGACCTTTTGACACTGATTTAATAGAAATGACTAATAATGCATGTGATTTCCTGCCATAGATAGATGCACTTTATTTTCAAAAGAACACATAACACTGGAACTGATAAACTAAATAAACAAAACAACCAAAAACAAAAATAAAATGGATTCTCAGTCTCCATTAGCAAAAAACGTATTTGAATAAAAACTAAACAACATAAAGCCAAAGTGGAAATAAATACTGCATTCAACCAAAAGAGTGCAGATTATGAAGTCTGTATACTATATTGGCCTTCAGTAATCACTAGATTTAAATAGAGAAGATGGGCACATCCGACTACCTAATGCAGTAGTTACACTACACGATTTTTTGCCCCTATTTTCCCCTTATGACAATCTTAGAATGTTGGCCAATCTAAGATTGTCGCTGGTGATTTCGTAACCGATCATCCTGCAGTGTGTGGTGTGTTACGGTAGATCGTCGTGGCCGCTCCGATCTAAATCAGGGGTTTTCCCCGACTGGGAGCTTAACGCTGAATGTGACAGGTAGCCAATCAGAAAGCGCGGATTTTCCTCCGTGATTTCTGAGGGGAAATTACGGAGGGGAATCCCAAACAGCTGACACGCGCAACCCGAAGTCCAGCAGTCATTGGTGATGATATGTGGAAACAACATTAATATTTATTCAACATTTCGTGCAAAGAATATAGAAATGACAAGGGAAGGAGTTGGAGCCAAATTGCTACCGCAGTTGATAAACCCTGTAAGTTTTCAGCCGTTCTTTGTTAACGTGACATAAATAGGTTATAATGATTTTCATACAGTCAGGACTTTACGCTGACTTTAACCTCATGCATCACAGGTAGATTCTAGTAAAGCATTGATTAATGCCTGGTTTTAAAATTACTTAACTGGACTTGTAGCCCTTATTTTGTGCCCAGGTGGCTGGACACCACACGGCACGACGAACCCGATCGAACCGTTATACCTAGGATTTCTGTAGGCTAATGTGTGGTCTCTCAGGTTTTGAAAATGATCCGACAACTCGTGTAGTGTGCGCTGGACATTACACTAAGAAAATGAGGAAGGGAGGGTCAGTGGAGAGCACTGGAGTTGAGCCTTTTTTCATTCAGTGTCATCAACAGAAAGAGAAAAAGGCAGGAAGAGACGATAAAGCTGATATTTAAAATGAGGTCGATAGGTTTAATTTATTGTGCAATTAATTGATTTATCTTTTATCGCGACAGACCTACACCACACGCTGCCATAATTGGGCCAAGACAATCAAACATGTTGAATATGCCTGATTTAGATCGGAGCGGCCACGACTGGACCCGATCAGTCATAACACACCACAGGATGATCGGCTACGATTGTTGGATGTTCTAAGATTGTCGTAAGGGGGGAAATCAGGGCAAAAAATTGTGTACTGTAAACTGGGCTGAAGGGAGGAGTGAACTGAGGAGTGAACTATTGAATCAGGTTGTCGGATATGTCCATCTTCTCTATCTAAATCTAATGATTATTGAAGGGCAATGTAGTACACAGACTTCATAATCTGTACTCTTTTTGCTGAATGTAGTTTTTATTTCCACTTCAAGTGCATTTTTTGTTAACGGAGACAGAGAGTCCATTTTATTTTAGTTTTGTTTATTTTGTCTACCAGTTCCAGTGTTAAATGTTCTTTTGAAAATAAAGCGTATTTACTTTTGGCAGGATGTGGCTTGCATTATTATGCCATTACCATTTCATCAGTTTAAAATAGTCTTCAAATGATATCATTTATCGCAATAATTTTTGAGACAATCGCTCAGCAAAATTTGTTATCATGACAGGCCTACTTTAGCTCACTGCCCTTTCATGTTTATATAAGCCTTCCGTAGTCAGACCTGCTGTCACACCTCTGCAGATCTGCTCAGATTTTTGCATGTATTTAGTGAGTCAGATTGTTTCCATCTGTGTACTATTTATACTTGAAGATGGGAAGGAAGGAGAACAAAGGATAATAATGTAATAAAATGTAGCAAAAGTAATTCTCTTCTCTAATTTTTTAATTATTTCAGAATCTTTTAACAATCTTCCAATTACAGCGTGATCTGTAATTTAAACACTTCCTGTTCACAGTGTCCATAAACACAACATTCTGAATGCACATGGACTGGAACATAGAAGCCAGACAAACTCTGAATCCCAAGTTTAGTTCTTTTGTTGGCAAAAATTCAAGTACCATAGTATTATGATGTGGGACACTTTTTCAAAGTGAGGAAGTATTTCACTTGTCACATACCTGGGAGGTGGCCAGCAGGTAGACAGGACTTGGGGCAGGAGTCTGGCTTGGTTCACAGCTGACTCCCAAGGAATTAAGGACTTCTGTCAAAATGTCATATCGCAGTGCATTGCTGACCTTCAGCTCATCAAAATCTTTTGAATCCATTTTCTTTGAGTAGGATGCAATGTCAAAATGAACCTAAAGAAACATACATACACATATCACAATTAAAATTATTTTTAACAGTCAGTCCAACAGATCAAATAGAAAATAGGGCTGCAAAATTAAAAAATTCAGAAAAGAGTTAATATTGAAACACTCCATAAAAAATTAGGAATATAAGTAACATTTCAGACTTTTCGATGGATACTCTAATGACCTGAATATTTAATGAAAATGTATCCCATGGGTGGATCAATCACCTCCAGTCAGGACGGGACTGTTTCTGGTCATAACCGTTGGAAATTAC